TACATACATATAAACACGTCCTCTTTTATTGTAATTATTATTATTATATATATACATACATACATACATATATGTATGTATGTATTTGTGCGAGAGAGCATTGCTATCATGGCATTGCCTTGGCATCCGGGCACCCTCTCGCCATGATGATTCGACTTGCCTAGTTTTCAGTTCCTCACCTAGGCGGCGCTTTTCAGACGACTTGTCGTCTTTGCGTAGCACCTTGGATGATTAACGCCGTGAATTTTAAGTCGCTTTTTTCTTTAAATAAGTCGTCGCTAGCCCAAATACTCTTAGATTAAAAACCCTGCCTCATTCTGTCTGCTTCCCGCGCTCAACTTGCGATTGCTTAGCTCCTCTGGCACTCCTACAATTACGCTGATCCGTAAGTATTTTTCTCTCTCCTATGGTCTTCGATTGCATCTCATATTCTCCTCTGCATTTTTTTAATTGCTTAACACTTTGTTTTCTTTAAATATGGTTTCGATCATGCCTTTTTTTTAATGCGTGATGAAGTAATTGTTTTGTTTCTAATTTAATAGTGTTTTTTTCTATTGAAGTCTACTGAATTTTAAAAAAAAATCTTAATCTGCTTTTTTTGCTTTTTTCAGTGGCCAACATTTTTTGTCTAATTGCTTAATTTTCTGTCTGGGTCTCCAACTTTTTTTCACTGGCCATCATTATTTTGATTCTAGCTTTCTTGGGGATTTTTGAGACTTCGTTATCACATAATTTCTTTCATGTGGATGTTAAACTTTGTTGAATACAATATTTAAACTTTATAACCCACAACATATTATGTAATATATTTATATTAATCTTACTACTGCATAGCAATTGTCATATACTACTTGTCGCCTAATTGTTGCCTAGGCGTCATGGTCGTACGCCTCGCATTGGCGCCGTGTTAACTATGAGAGAGAGTGTGTGTGTGTGTGAACACACAACAACAACAAACCAACGAACCCAACACAACCCTAACAAAGTTGTGGTTTTGGAAGTCAAGATGCACAGAACCTTACATTGTGAGTAGAATAAAGAGAATGTGTTTGTTAGTCTCTTACGCTATGTTTGGTTCACGGAATTTGAAAAGAAAATGAGAGGAAAAATAATTTTTCATGTTTGGTTAGAGAGGAAAAGAAAAGAAAATGAGAAGGCAAAATGAACTAAGTCGAATGAAAACCAAATTCCTCTCATTTTGGTGAGAAAAATGAGAGATTTTTTTCTTTTCCTTCCAAAATTCCATGAACCGAACATAATGTTAATGGTGCAATGGCTACCCAAAATATCATAAAAAGTAAGCAAGTTTAATGACTTTTTTAGCATTAGTTGGCAAGACCTGTTTTCTTATTTAGTGCCTGCAAATTACAAAAGGTTATTGAGTGGGGGGCAAACTAGCAATGATAAATTCAGGGCATATACTGGACAGCTCAAAGCAAGCATGCGCACTAGAGTAAAAACAAATACTTAGAGCTTGCTCTTTTTCTCTGATTTGATTGGATCTAATTATATTTTCATTCCCCTGTGGAGCCAAAGATTCACTATTTTTTGCTTTGGGTATGATGGAATAAAGCAAATTGGCTCTTTAAACTGTTTGCGCTTCTTGCAATTGTGAAGTAGCAAGTAGTGAATGCAACTTTCGATGCTCATCATGGGTCATCAAGAAACAGCCACGCTATGTTTTGAACATAGGGGTCAAACTATGTACATCCAATCCCCCTTACCCCGCAATGGGCGGGAGCCGTTGAGGCACTGGGTAATGTTGTTGTTGCTTGGATCTGATTTTATTTTATTAAGGTCTAATTTGATTTGATCTAATTTGGTTAGACCTAATTCAAGTTATACCTAAAGTTGTTTATTATTTGATTTGGTCTTTGATATGAATTGGTCTGATCAGATTCCAATAAGAATAAGCTGAGGAAAACATGCTCTTACTTCACTCTCAGTAGCACTCCGCCGATGCTCCTCTGCATTTTTCTCTGCCATTTCAATTTCTTCAAAAGGATCCATGTACATCTAGACACATGTATAAGGTTATTCGTGATCATGAAATGGCATCAAACAACAGCTTATTAATAAAAAGTATAGTGTCATGGTACCAAGGACAAGTACTCCATAAATAATAAAAGATGTCATACACAATCATTTTCCAAAAATGTCAATATCTCCCTTCACTTCAGTCCAATTTACAAGAGATGTTTTACAAAACTTGGCAAAAACTATTCTAAAATTTAATATTTTCAAACAAAATCAAATACTATCATATAAATCTATATAATTACAATTTACTCAAAAAGTAGAACTCTGTCAACAAAAAAATGAATCACAAAATTATTATACTCCTTAAATTGTTAAAAAAAATAAATAGAGAAAGAAGAATTGGTTTAACTTCTAAACAGTATAAGAAATGGATGGTGTAAGACGGAGAAGCAACTATACAAATGAAGTAACGCTGTGAAAGAGTAAAAAATGTGCTGAAATATTTACTATATATTACTATAGGTAACAAGCATACATGTGGCTGCATTTCCATTCTTCCACCAATAATCACCAATCCCGAATCTCCATGCCTTACAGTATAATTACTAATTGAGATTCCTATTTCTCGATGATGAGTGTTATGTGGAAACTCCTCCTGTAAAGTGCATTGGGAAAGTGAGAGATGACATTTTCTGCAAGTTGAGCAAGAAATAACAATAATAATAAAAACAACAATAACAACATTAAAAATAGTCATTATATTATCATTATTATTACTCCGAGTATTATGATAATTCTAAACAAAAAATGCATCAAGAATAATAATAATAATAATTTTGACAAGTAGAATTGATGCGATTTTGTGACTAGATATTGAAAGCATTATTTTGAAAAAAAAATAGAAAAGCACCTGATTACCTGAAGATTCATCTCCCAAAGCTTTTTGAGGTTGTGATCAAAACACATTACAGACCAACCTGATGTAACAACAACCAGAACTTCTTTCCGGGGTTCCCTGGGGTTGTAATTCCTGTCTATAACACCAGTGGCCATTGCCACAGCACGTCTTCCTGTTGTAATACGAACTTTATCAGGCAATAGGGACACCTCTGCTATAACACGTGCTTCACTAAATCCTTCATCCACTCGCCTAACATGCGGTTCTAACACCTACATTCATAATCATGGACATGATTAAAATAAAACCACTGCATGCTGTGAATAACTGTTACATTAAGGAGTATCCAGAAAGAAATTTTGAGAATCAGTTGAATATATCTCTTCTTCATTTGAAGAAAGTAAGGGCACCAAGGAATCTTTTGCGAAAGGGTCAGCATTAAAGATATCCCTTTCGCCAAATAGCTTCTAAGCTCATCAGAATTAATGTTCATTCAAGAAAAGTAACAGTAAACTAGAAAACAGCATTAGTGTCAGGTATTTAGATGAAATTATATATAATGGACTAAATGACATAGAAAATGCGTTAGATTAATGACCTGGATTTTGGCATCGTGTGTCGCAACAAGGACCTCTTTTCTGCCATCGCCGTTAAGATCCGAAACAATAGGGGGAGGAAGACGATCAGCTTCGTATTTGATAGGATATTCGTCAGATAGATGAAACCACGCCTCCCTGAATGAAAAATCACCTTCATGCTAAGATCACACAGAGCGAAGATCACACAGAGCGAAAAAGAAAAGGTCAAAAAAATCAATTCAAAATGAATTCACAAAGTAAAGACAAGAAACATAACAAAATTGAAACAGGTAAACAGGAAGTGAAGACTGCTAGGGTTTATAATGTTTACCGAGAAGTTTCAGAGTGGTGAGGTACCTGAAGAGAGAAGAAGATGGCAAAAGCAGAGAGCATTAGAATAGCTAGATCGCGCTTCCTCATCTTCTACGTCTTCGTTCGTCCCGGTGAGAGAGAGTCACGAGTGTGACGACCAGGATGCCACGAACCCCGATATCTTCGACCTGGATGCCAACTAGAGGAAATGGGAAGTGATTGGGATGAGTTTCTTTGCCTTGTTAGGTTGACAGTAGAGCTCGCAAATCGGTCGGTCAGGTCGGGTTCGAGTCCGGTCACTTCAAATTTGGGTTATTTTGGGTTCGGGTCAATTCGGGTTCGGATTAAGAACTGTATGTTCATGACTCAGTGTCATCGGGTTCGAGTCGACCTAACGGGTTATGACTTTGTTTTTTAAATTTTTAAATTCACATTAACACTTACATTTTCTATTAAATAAATTTAAAATATCAAAAAAAAAGTATTAAATCTATAAAATTATCTTATTTTAAACTCTAAAGTAGTTTTTAGATATATAAATCAAAATAAGGAATTTAAAATTGCTTAAGTTTTGGAAAAAAATAAGATAATTATGCAATATCATTAAAGTTTTGTATGAAAATATTAATTTATATACTAAAAAAGAGTAAAAAACTGTATAATTTTGAAAAATTCTTACTTTAGCGGGTCGGTCAGGTCGGGTTCGGGTTTGACCCATTTTTAGCGGGTCGGGTTCGGTCACCAAAACCTTTGTTCAAAACCCAGTGTTTTCAGGTCGGGATTCGGGTCAAAAACAGGTCGGGTCACTTTTTGCCAGGTCTAGTTGACAGAGATGAAGGAAAGAATTAATTTTTATTTTAATTTTTGAGTAAATTCCATTGGTCCTTTATAATAGGGGTTTCCCTATTTAGTCCTCTATTATCAAATATTACCCTAGTTGTCCTTATTTTATGGGTATCTTTCCACAAATAATCCTTTTTTTGATCTTCTATCATGTTGGTGTTAATTTGAGGGCTAAAAGTGTAATTTCACAATGATAATATATCTTTGAGTAAATTCTATAATTGGTCCTTTATAACAGGGGGTTTCTGCTAAATATATTAATTATATTTATTATTCTTGTAATTATTGTGTTACCATACTTGTATAGGTTTCCTAATGTGGCTCTCCTACTATGATTAGGATTGAAGCCTCTAGTATATATTGATGTATTCTCTACACAATTATTTAATGAAAATATATTTTCTACATGGTATCAGAGCCTAAAAACCCTAAACCCTAATCTCACGTCTCTCCCTCTCTCTCGTTCGGCCCTTCACTGCCAAGCGCCGCCCCTCTCCTCGGCGGCCCTCCACCGGCGACTTCTCCTCCCTCCCGGCGGTCCTCTCCCTCCTCTCTCACCATGGCCGAAAACAGTAAAATCACTTCCCAAACTACGCCCTTCAAAACCCCGCATCTTGCTCTCACAACTATCTCCAATGTCAAGTTGCATGTTCTTGTTCAACTCAGTCTTTCCCAACCGAACTACAAAAAATGGAGTAGTCTATTTCTTCTCCTTGTTCGGCGTTTCAACCTTCAAGGATACCTCGATGGATCCGTCGTCCCCCTCTCCGACGACGACGACAAATGGTGCCAACTTGATGCTCTTCTCCAAGGTTGGATTCTCTCCACCATCATCGATGAAGTCTCAGATCTGGTCATCTCTTCTCTCACCACCGCCTCAGCTCTCTGCAAGGTTATCCACTACCTCTTTCATGATAACAAATATGCCCGAGCCATGCAGTTGGAGCATGAATTCCGTACCACCGTCAAGGGCTCCACCTCCATGGTGGCCTATTGTCAACAACTCCAAAATCTTGCCGATTGGTTAGACGACGTTAATGCACCGGTCTCTCAACACCAACTTGTTCTTCAGATGCTCCGAGGGCTCCCCGCAGATCTTCAGAGCCAGACCTCTTTCATGCAGTTTCAGGATCCTATGCCAAATTTTCTTCAAGTTCGATTGGCTCTCATGCTCTTAGATCGTCAACGGTCAAATCCCGTTGACCCCGGCAGCACGGCCTTGCTCACCACCCGAGCCGACGGTCACCTCCATGGCGGGACGAACGGCGGTAGCGGCTATGGTGGACAGCACGGTGGCAGCAGCTACCGTGATGGCAACTCGGGACAACGCGGCGGCTCTAGATGAGGGCAAGGACGTGGCGGCGGAAATCGGGGTCGTGGACGTGGACGTCAAAACGGCTCCAGGCAACGACAAACCCATGACGGAAATACCACCTAGAACTCACCCCACCCAAACCCTAACCCTGGCCTCCTAGGCCCTCGCCCCACACCCTAC